AGTGTTACTGGTGACATCTCCTGGTGCCAGTTCTACATAGAGATATCTATTTTTCTTGTATTGCATCTCTTTAGAAGTCTATGTTTCAGATTCATTTGAGAACTAAAACATGTTTTAGAAACAGCCCAGTCCAATGCCGTAAGTTTACAGAAGGTAATAAAAATGACACAAGAGCCCGTGAGTACAGCTACACAATGCCGCAGAGCCCAAATCAGAACCCAGGCCTTCCCCTTCGAAAACACCTCTAACTCCAAGGGAGAACTGCTAGCTTTCATCTAACTTCGTAAATCTGCTGTGCATTCTAATGCAACCCAATCTGAGTTAGCAGAGACCGTTGTCTGTCTGTCCTCAGCTGTGTGACAGTTCATTGTCTCATACTTCACTCATCCTTTTTCATAGTTTCGTTTGTTTGTTTTGAGGCAGGGTGTCATGAACCTGGGATGGCCATGACCTCCTGGTCCTCCTACTTCTTCTCTGGGATTTCAGGTCTAAGTCACCACACCCATCGCACAAGTTTTTAAATGGGTCAGTTTTAATTTTCTTCCTTTTACAATTGATATTGTAGTCTGTTTTGCCCACATCCCTGAAAGTTTTCTTATGACTGAGGGCTGGGAGTGAAATCATAATTCTAAAACAAAAACAAACAGAACAGTATTTAAAAGTCATGAAGTATAGACCTCTCAGAAAAAGGCCTGGCTCCCTGCAAACCCCATGTCCTTAAGTCCTTTCTTCTATTTTTAAATATTGCTTTTTACTGGTTTTAAAGTTTTAGACATTACCCGTTGATACGTGAAAGAAATACTCGAATCTCTTACATGTTCAATACCTCCCCCTCCTTCCTCCTATTCAATCACACTTTTCGGTTAGTCTGTATTCTAACGGGTGCCAGATGGTGACAAAGACGTTCAGTCCTTTTGTGACCACACAAGCCCCTCAAATGCCCCTCGGCGTGCAGGAGGGCCATGTGTGTTTTTCCTGTTCCCCAGGGAATTGCTGCTACACAGACTTGCTGCCCAGCTACTCGTAAGGACAACGAGGGTCAGGTGGCTCAAAGACAGTGCAAAGGCCAGCAAATGGCAAAGCAGTTCAGAAGCAGAGAAAGAAATATGGCATTAATAACCAGGTGATAACCAGGGCAGGGTGAGAAGGTGCCGGCACAACAGTCCTCGTAAGCATTCACCTGAGCAAGGTACTCATCTGGACAAAGGCTGGAGAAAACGCCTGAATGTAGAGCCAAGTCCAAACAAATCAGGAGAGAAAGGCAAACATAAGCAAGAACTCAGTGAGGAAGGGCAAGCGTGATGGGACCCGAGTGCAGAGGGGGCCTCCTGCCCACTTCCACTTCCTGCAGATTTCCGCCTCCTGCCCACTTCCGCTTCCTGCAGACTTCCGCCTCCTGCCCACTTCCACTTCCTGCAGACTTCCGCCTCCTGCCCACTTCCACTTCCTGCAGACCTCCGCCTCCTGTAGACCTCCGCCTCCTGTAGACCTCCGCCTCCTGCAGACCTCCACTTCCTGCAGACCTCCGCCTCCTGCAGACTTCCGCCTCCTGCAGACTTCCGCCTCCTGCCCACTTCCACTTCCTGCAGACCTCCGCCTCCTGCAGACTTCCGCCTCCTGCCCACTTCCACTTCCTGCAGACCTCAGCCTCCTGCCGACTTCCACTTCCTGCAGACTTCCGCTTCCTGCAGACCTCCGCCTCCTGCAGACTTCCGCTTCCTGTAGACTTCCGCCTCCTGAGTGTTCTGTGGAACTTTGCACGATATCTCTCCAGTGCTTTTCATTTCCTTCTCATTTTTGGCTTAATAATTCTACTTTTACAATTTTGATTAATAATGTTTGAATAAAATTTGGAACTGTTCCCTAACTCTAAATGGTATTTGCATCATTTCATAAACAAAATCCATTTCTTATAAAATATTCAGGACTTAAATTTTTATGCTATATAAATATTGGTCTCTAAGCCATATGGGACACTGTCATTACATTTCCTTTCTTATGCATTTTTAATTTTTCTCTACAGATAGGCTAGTAATTGCTTCATTTTATTCCAGGTATTCAGTGCGGCTGTTTTATTTATTATTGTGCAGTTCTGGGGATTGAACTCAGGCCCAGCCTTTCTCATTTGTACTCTTTAATTTCAGACACGGCCTCACTAAGTTGTTCAGGTTGGTCTTGAACTCACTCTGTAGCCCAGGCAGGCCTTGAACTTGGGATCTGCCTGCTTCAGCCTCCTGAGAAACTGGGATTCAAGCCTTGACAAATTCTGCCACTCCATTTCTTGGACACTCTTTTTTGGGGGAGGGGAAATCTTTGAACAGGGTCTCTCTGTGTAGCTTTGGCTGGTCTTGACTTGAACTCACAACAGAGATCCACCTGCCTCTGTCTATCGAGAGCTGAGACTGAAGGCATGTGCCGCCACCACAGTGAGGGAGGCCTTGGACTTCTTCCCTTGATTCTGTGTGGGCCTTTGGAGATACAGGCTTGTAAGCCCCTGTGTGGGTGCTGGGAGATGAACTGGGGTCCTCTGCAACAACATCAAGTGCTCTTAAGCACTAGGCCATCTTTCTAACCCCTAAATTTTATTTATTTATTTTTTTCAGACAGAGTCTCACGTAGCCCAGGCTGGCCTCAAACTGGATAATGTAGCTGAGGATGATCTTGAACTGCTAATCCTCCTGCTCTCCCCACAAATGCTGGGGCTACATGTGTGAGCCACCATGCCTGGCATCTATAATTCGCAATATGGTCAAGCACATTAGGTAACTTATCAATTCCAGTTTCTTCTCTCTCAGAGATACTTCTCCTGGGGAAGAGCAGATGGCTCAGCAAGTATGAGGGCTGTAGCTTGGATCCCCAGAACCCACAGAAGAGTTAGGTGCAGGAATGTAATCCGTTATCCCAGCTCTCCCACAGGGAGATGGGAGGCAGAGACAGGAGAGTCCCTAGGAGCTCATGAGCGAACAACAAAAGACCTACCTTAAACATTCTGGGAGCGAGGACTGACATCCGAGGTTGTCCTTTGACCTCCACATGTAGGCAGTGACGCATGTGCACGGTCACTAACATACAAAAACGCGCTCGCACACATGAAAAACCGGAGAGGATTTCTCCTAGAGCCCTGTGTCCTCTTGTCTCAGTGAAGCCTGCATACATAGCCATCTGCCTAAGACTTGTTGGCATGTCACATAGGAAGCATGGTACTCAGGGACTTGGGCTGTCCCTGTAGTAGACCTGCTTGGGTTTGAATCCTTGGTATGCTACTTGGTTGTTGTGTGACACTTCAATAATTACTTAACCTCTCTGTGTCTCAGACTCCTAACTGGAACAAAGCGGTAGGCCTTATCATTGTTCATGCCTTCACTCAATCACTTGCTTTTTCTTGTGCATACCAGGGTGTGCAAGGCATCCTCAGCCCTGTCCCCTTGTGTTGAAGGAGCGTGTCCCATCCTCTCGGGAACAAGGACAGGGAAGGCACGTTCCCTGAGACCCTGCAATGTCCCATTTTCATCCCCAGGAGCACAGGCAGAAGAGGGGTTAGGTCTCCGTGCCCAGCTGCTCATTGCCTATTCTAAGCTTGTTTTGTTTTCTTCCTAACTCATTTTTATGTTATATGTGAGTGCTCTGCTTGTATGTATGGCTGTGTACTACACATGTGCCTGCTGACCCCATAGGCCAGAAGAGGGCATCAGATCCCCTGGAACTAGAGTTCCAGGACAGTTGTGAGCTGCCAAGTGGGTGCCAGGAACTGAACCTGTGTTCTCTAAAGAGCAGCCAGTGCTCCTAACCAGTGAGCTCTCTCTCCAGTCCCACAAGCTTCTGATGAAATAAATCTGCAATATTTTTATGGTTTATAATCCGATGTCTTGTTCTGGGGTTGTTCTTTTTCATATACTACCTGGTTCAGTTTCTTAGGTTTAATACTGTGCTAGCATAGTGTGTCTAAAATGTCTGTTTTTCCTCACATTGTTCCTGTTTCCTCTAAGTTCCTTCTGTCAGTTTGCTTTAGGCTCTCCCTTTAATGGTGGGGTGTTTTCTCAATGCCCCGAGTTCCCCTGCCCCACATTCTTCTCCAGGGTGAGGCAGCTAGCCATGTGACAAGCTGAGATTGGTCACTGGAGGTGACTGGTCATGTATATGGAATGCTTACTGAGGGGTCTCCCAATGCTCCTCTGCCAGTCCTTTCTTCGGGGCGTGGCAGCTGCCTAAGGATGAACTCTTGGAGTTTTCTCTGGTGAATATGAGGGATTTTAAGCTGGCTGCTAGCATTTTGAAAGTCAGTACAGAAGGAGGGTCAGGAGAGGGGACATTTTGTCTTTCAGAATGTGGACCCTCACTCAGGCACTCTTCTGCAGGACCTGCTTCCCCTCTATCCCTACCCGCAACTGTGCACTCACCATTCCTGCACCCACAGACTCGGTATAACAACGCCAATTACAACCATGAAGTTAACTGAATCCCATGAGCCTGGGTTGAAAAGGTAGGAAGTCTTTGTACAGAGTCCCTGTACTGGGAGAAACCACATGGTTCCCTCTACTGTGCCACCCCCAGGACACGCCCCTTTATCCGTCCAACTCCACCGCACTCCCCCATCCTTCTGCCTTTGATAATGTTTCAGAATGGGTGTTCAAGGCCCAAGTTTGTTTTAAAATAACCCAATGAGCTAACAGACAGAGCTCCTGTTATTGTGAAGTGTGCGCTGGAGTCCACATATAGGAACCGCAGTCAGCTAGAGGGTGGTGCACTACCATGCTCAATTTCTGAAAGCCGCTAGGAAAAAGCCCAAAGTTAGTTAGCATTCACACAGACACCAGGGCTGTGCTGCAGGGTCTCTGCACTCGGATGTAAGAGAACACACTAGTGCGGCCTCTAGCATATGACTAATACAGGTTATAAAGACGCCACCTGTGAAGAAAACAGGCTTCCGTCATGCACAGGAATTGTGTTCTAAGATCAACTATATACCAATGGTATGAAAACCAGGGGTGATGTCGACTTACCTCTCCAATCTGCTTAATCCACACATCTCTTCCAAGAAACTCCTGATGTAAGACGACAGGTGCTGAGTTGAGGTTAAAAGTCTTCGAGTCACTGGTCTTGTCTTTGATAAAAGGCTGGAGGTCAGAGTGTATCTAGAAGGCACAGTTATGGAAGGTATATGAGAACAATGTGTCAACTCAGGAAGTACCAGTTACAGAGTGTTTCCACCCACAGTAAGATTTAATGAGTCCATCAACGTCCTGGAAGACTTAGCCACAATCTTTAAAATTCTTTAGAATTTAATTTTCATGGTGTGTATGCCTCTGGTGATGGCAGCCTCTCTGCCATCGGGCTATACCCTCAGCCCCTTCTCCTTTAAGTTAAATGAAGAGACTTAAACAAAGCTAGTCAATAAAGAAACCCAAGTTTTAATAAAATATGAAAAAGCTCATCTGGAAATCACACACACACTATATATACACGTATACATATAAACACACACACAAACTTGTATGGAATCCTGTCTTGTATGAGTTAAGTGACACTGGAAAGTATGTGACTGAAATTATGGGAGTATTATGATGTTTTTTTTTTTTTGAGACAGAGTCTTCCTATTATGTAGCTCTGGATGCCCCAGGTAACCACATATTGAAAGTGAAGCAGCCACAAGGCAGCGGATTTAGAGATTTTTATATTTCGTATGTCATTAAGGCATCCTTCCCTTCTAGCCTCTCCTACACTTGGGAGAGCTCTCACTTTTTCTTAATAAATCTATGCTCTAGCTTCTATAAAGCAATTAAATCACATATTAAAATTAAAGCTTTCAGTGTTATTCAGTACAGATTTTATGAACTTTTCATAATTTGTTTCACATAAGGGTTTACAAGAGAACTGCAGTAAAAACAAAAAGTAGCCTACCATTCTGAGAAGGAGATATCACGTGTTATTTGATAATTTTTTCAGGCAGCAGGAATTACACAGTACTTGCCGATGCTGCTGCTTATGTAACCCCGCCCTCCCTGACTGACAAACTTTTCGCACACAATGAACACCTTCCCAGATACAAAAGCGGCTTACGAAGCGGCAGCAGTCTTCTGTGTGCATTTAGAAGAGAGAGCGTGAAATACCTTATGGCTCATGGCCATGTGCTTCCCATACTGAAATGCCATGCCCTGGACCGCTGCATCGTGCTGTGCTAACTCCATTGCAGCCTGGCAGCTCTTTGCCAGCAAGGCACAATGGGACAGAAAGGTCTGCTCCTTCCATGTCGAAATTCCAATGTCGTCTGTGGTAGAAGGCTCCTAAAAGTGTAAGACGGCAGGGGCGACAAGGCATTAGATAAATTTATCTGTGTTTTTTAAGACTAAAGGCATTAGGAGCTGGCCGGGTCTGGTGGTGTACGGTTGCAGTCCTGAGCCCTGCGCCAGCCACCAAGAGCAGTGCACTGGGCGTGCACTGGGTAAGGAGTTTGAGCCAGCACCAAGTCTAGTGAGTCTCGATTCCCACGCATCAAGGGACGAACGTCAAAACAGAATGCTAACTGAAAGGAAATGACGGAGTAGTTAAGAGTACTTGCTGCTCTTGCAGACCTGGCTCAGACTCATATGGCAGCTCACAGATGTCTAACTACAGTCAGAAGGAACCCCGATGCCCTTTTCTGATCTCCATGGGACCAGCTACACATGTGGTGCACAAGCATACACATAGGCGCATACATTTAAAAAAAGCTATTTAAAAATAACTCAATTTATGACTCAATTATTGTTTGCAAAGCAATTTAGATATGAAGACTGATAAGCAGCTTGTCCTCAAGAAGCTCATGGTCCAGGCATAAAAGGGACAGAAACACATGCACCCAGAAGACAAAGCTTTTAACAACATTAGATGCGACTAGCATACTATTTTTGTGGCATTTTAAAATTAACACATTAATTTTACTGTATATTATTGTCTGTGTATGTGTAGCTGTGTATGTGTGGAGGCTAATTGCAGGACCTGAGACCACCAAAGGTTTAGTTCTGTTCATTATGTATTTCTTACTGGGATTTAGACTCTTTATTATTCACCATTTTCATACTTTTAAATTATTCATGGAACATACAACTTCTGAAGAAGATTATTCAGATAACCAGAAACAATTAATTTATGGTCCCCTGAAACCTACTGCCATAACTTAATTGGACCGTAAGTTAATAACTCTGCTCCTAAGTTAATCAGGAATGTTATTCCCTGAACATCAAGTTATTACCTATTATGAACTTGGTTATTAATGAAGCACAATCCTTCTACTCATTTCTACCAGACTGTCACATATATACTAAGAAAATATTATCTAGGAAAATTAATGTATACTTTCAAAATGCCAAGGAAACTGGTGTGATAGCCACATCTAAACCATGCTCTTTAAACATCAGATATTCAAAATGGGCGTGAAGTGGCTGAGTGTAGCCAGAGTAGAGGTTCAGATATACTTACTGCCATACAGTATGCACAGGTTCAAAAAACAACTTAAATTTAGTCTGAGAATTTCACACCACACATGCAATCTTATGTACTTATTTATTTTGAGAAGGGTTTCAACGTCTTACGTTCAAGGATGGCCTTGAACTCTGGATCTCCTCACATCTACACCAAGTGCTTGGACACGGATGTGTGCACCATACCCTGCTACACAAAGTTTTCTTCTTTCCTTGGTGGTACTGGGTACTGAACCAAGGACTTCCAGCATGCCCGGCAAACATGCTATCATTGAGCTATAACCTCAGCTTGTGTGTGTGTGTGTGTGTGTGTGTGTGTGTGTGTGTGTGTGTGTGGTAAGACAAGGAGTTAGTACATAGTTTAGGGTGGCCTTATAACATCCTAAGTGCTGGGCACTTAGGATGCCTTACGTGAAGTTTCTTTGTACATTTATGTACTTGTTTGTCTGAGCTCAGAAGACTGCCTGATTCTGCCTCCCAAATGCTGGGATTAAAGGGAGTAATACCATGCCTGGCCCTAAACAGAGACATTACTGAAGATTTATTATATATAAAAAGACGATCTACTTGATGGGACTTCTTTATTTTAGGAAAGGGTAATATGTGTCATGGTGTATGATGAATACCTGTCAGAGGTTTCTCAATTTAGAGTACTGTAACTTTGATCTGTAGCTCATGATCTATTTTGCTCAGGTAAAGCTGTCTGAGATAGCAGAGGGGTGGCGGTTGATGCTGCCTGAGATTGGTGGTCTATTCACTTGAGCATATGCACACCCAGGGTGTGGACTTCGGAGTGTTACTAAGAAGCCATTTCTTCTCAATTTTTGTCTGTGAGATGCACACTCTGAGCTGTCTTTCTCATGAGGTAAAACATCTGTTTCCATTCATGGGAGGCCATTTGTTACCGTGGCTGTGAGGGCTTCAAGATTAGGTCCATGCTCACTGGACAAGCACAACCTTGCTGGGGAGGGAGAAGCCAGAGTCTGTTGTGATAAACTGTTTTGGTCAAGAGTTTTAGAAACTCGGAAGCTGACCATCTGTGCAGTGGAGAGAATATTTTTTTTTAAAGATTTATTTATTATGTATACAGTGTTCTATCTGCATGTATGCCTGCGGTTCAGAAGAGAGCACCAGTCAGATGGTTGTGAGCCATCATATGCGTGCTGGGAATTGAACTCAGGACCTCTGGAAGAGCAGCCAGTGCTCTTAACCACTGAGCCATCTCTCCAGCTCAGAAAGAATGTACGCAGAGGTTGGCGATGTGCTCAGCTTGGAGCATGTATAGGAAATGACTATGTCTATTTCCAAATGTACCCTCACACACATGCTTTAGCTTCATGCTACCCACTTTAGATTCATGTTCTGGGTCACTGTTGTCATAAATATGTGTTGGGTGAGTGACTAGATTCCCTTACTATCACATTTTAATGCTTATATTACCTCCTTTGAATTATTTTTGTTTTGGAGGGACAGGGTCTCATACAGTAACAGGCTGGCCTGGAATTCACAAGTTTCTGAGTTCTGGGATTACAGGTGTGGTTACCATGTCTGGCACACTTGTAAAACAGAGTAAGGGACTGACGGGACGGCTCAGCCATTAAGATCACACTCTGAACTGTGAGGACCAAGCACCCAGGTCAAGCGAGCACAACAGCTAGTCAGTCACTCCCGCTTCAGGGATCTGACGCTTTCTGGAAACTGTGAGCATTGTAGTCATGTGTACTCTGCCACAGATAGAGAATTAACAATAAAAATAAATAAAATCTTAAAGATGAAAGTGAGACAAATATATGAACACTTTCCAACTCTCTGAAGTCCAGGGCTAGAAGGAAGGAGATGAAGGTAGCCTCATTCATCCTGCTGGCTAAGGACATTTCTGTATCACTTAACATGTCACCTCCTACGTCAAGTTTTAAGTATCAAAACTCCTTTTTTTGGTGTGCTTTTTGTTTTCTGTTTTTTTGAGACAGGGTTTCTCTGTGTAGCTCTGGCTGTCCTAGAACTCACTCTGTACATCAGGCTGGCCTCAAACTCACAGAGATCCGTCTGCCTCTGCCTCCTGAGTGCTGGGATTAAAGGGATGTGCCACTACTTCCCAGCTAATTTGAAAATTTTTATGTGTATGAGTGTTTTCCCTGCATTCATGTCTGTGTACTACATACATGCCTATTACCTACAGAGGCTAGAAGAAAGTATAAAGTCCCCCGGAACAGGAGTTATAGACTATTGTAAGCCATTATGTGGGTGCTGGGAATTGAACCAGGGTCTTCTGGGAGAGTATCAAGTGCTCTTACCTGCTGAGCTATCTTTCCAGTTCTCGTATTATCTATTAGGGTAAAAGGTAGGTGGTGTGTAAGATTGGATGGTGCATGCCATCAATATATTGAAAAAAAAAGGGCACAGCCCTATATATTAAGCTTAGCGGTAACACTCCTTGTAGAAATGCATTGAAGAGGTCTGTAATGAGTATGTCTTCAGGAATCACTAGGCAATATGAGGAGAAAAGGGTGGTGTGTTAACAGCCTCATCTAATACGACAAAATAATTTGCTTTGATTTACATCCTATGCACACAGGAAGATAGTAAAGTAGGTATACGTAAGCTTCCCACTCATGTAAACCATTTTAAAAACCACTGGAAAGTTGTGACAAATGTGTATTGCTAAAACCTTTCAAAAGTGTTTTTAGGGGCTAGGGAGCTGGCTCAGTGGGTAAAGCGCTTGCTGTGCAATTATGAGGACCTGGGTTTGGATCCCCAGTGCGCATCTGTAGCCCCAGCTCCAGGGGTGGGAAAGGAGGGCAGAGACAGGAAGGTCCTGGGAGCTTATGGTTCAGCCAGTCTCCTGAAGCGTGGAGCTGTGACTTCAGTGAGAGACACTGCCTCAAAATGAGTAAACCCTTTGACTAGACTTCCTCAAGAACACAACGCTCCTGAGCCCACTCCAGGGGTTTCCAGTGAGAAGTTTTAGTTCCCTACCACATGGGCCCCTATGAAGGGCTATTCACATGATATGACAACTGGCTTCCCAAAGAGAGCGACTTATGAGGAAAAGCAAGACCAGAGAGAGCGCCTTAGGCCCTTACATCCCTGTCTCAGAAAGGAGAGCACTGGGAACACTAAGGGGCGGGGCTCACTGGTGACCTACCACAGATGGAGTCTGTGGTTTCAGTTATTGGCTCGACAGTGTGAATATTTTAGTCTCTTAAGACATTCTGTTAAACTGCTTTCTAGAAAGAAGCTTTTGAGCCACATACTGACAGCCAACTCTGAGACTGTCTTGCTGCTGACCAACTTCATTATTTTGGTTGTTAACAAGTAAAAAGTGATACATCATTACAAGTCGAGTCATTTCACTGATTAGCTGATTGTATGTCTTCCTATTACACCTTGACCCATGCAAAAGTTTAGCTAAAACAAGGATGAGCAGGCAGGGGGTCAAGCCAAGTGTAGCCTATGTGCACTGATGATGGAGTGAGGCATGACTAAGGTACTCTTGTCCACTACTGCTACAGATGAATGTCTGTGTCTTCTCAAGGGGAAACACAGAAGCCACAATCCCCAGCTCAGTATCTCTACAGCAAGAGTAAGTAGTTAAGGTTACATGAGGTCATAAGCCGGTGGCCCCAACTAGTAACATTAGTGCCCTCGTTGTTATCAGATAACAAAAAACTCTCTATGACCATCTTTCTTTGCTATGTGAGGATAGACACAGGATGTCCACAGAGCCTACAGAATTACACTCTCTCTACAGTTAAGGACTTAAAGCAGTATTCTTTATTTTATTTTTTTTTTTTTTTGAGACTGGGTCACCTATATCCCAGGCT